CCCCAAATTGCTCAGAAGATTTGATTCAGTTCTGTTTGCTGTGGCCACAGTTTGGTCACCCACAGGATTCACGTTGCACACCTTGCTGAGGAAGAACGAGAGGGAAGGAGCTGCCAGGACCTGCCAGGAGTTAACACATCGCCTGATCTCAGGGCACTTTTCTTCAGGGCACTTATGGAGCTGTGAGTACTGTGCCAATCGAATGGGAAACACCAAAGCCAATTAGGAACAAAACCAAACCAAACCCCAACAGCCTGGGTAGAGGCAACCCCACAAACGAGAGCTAAAGGCTTTATAGTGTCTGAAGGCACTTGGTGTTGGTGATGGCTCGAGGTGACCTCCTGGGTGCTCTGAAAGACCTTCCTGTGATCCGGTGCTGGTTTCTTTTAGTTGCTTCTCTGCATTTCTTAGCAGCAAATTTTGCCAGAAACCTGTAACGTGGCAAAACAACTCCTGTGTTACTCCTCCCTCTGCTGTTTTCTTACCTCTTGATCAGTTCTCGGACCGCAGAAGTTTGTTTATTTGTGCAGTGGTGTAAATGGACTCTTCTTCCCAGTCCTCACATGCCCACCATGAGTAGTGACTCCATGGGGTATATTGTCTGGAACACCCTGGTGAATGCTGGGCTGTGGCCAGGCAGCTCCATCCTCACGTGTGACAGTTCCTGGGTGACTTGTTGTAGCTGTGACACGTTTCCTTTTGACAGTGGCATATCAATGGGAGATGTGGCGGTGGCTGGGGGTGACGCCGAATGGCTTCGCTGTTTAATGTTTGGTTTATGTTTTGGTTCCAATTCAGAACCTGAGCATCTGTGTGCAGCAGTGGTGTCTGCCAGGAAACGTCCTGAAGGACAAAACCATTTGGTGGATCCTTTCTGTGGGGGATTTGAGATGTAATCACAGCTTTGCTTACAAGGGGGTGTTGGCTTCAGGCAGCTGGAAATCTGAAGTAAGGCAGGAGCAAAAGGAGTCTGGGTTTGAGAGGGTTCCTGGGCTGAGACCGCTGCAGGGGAAGGGATCCTGCCCTTCCTGACACAAACCCACCTTCGCTTCTCTGCTGAGGGCTGGAGCCCGGGACGGGAGCTGTGTGGTGCCCAGGGAGGGGGAGGAAGCAGCTTTCCTTACCAGGTCAAGATGAGGCACCGTAAGAGCTCTTTGAAAATACTCTGTAAATGTTTTCTGGAGTTTTGTATTCCCCAAAACAACAATCCTCCCCAAACCAGCCCTGAACACCTCAGATCTGTTGCCAGCACTCGCCAGCACATCCTCACCAGTACCTGGTGTGTAGCAAAATGCCAGTAAGAAGGGATTTGTGCAGCTCTTGCCATCCAATGCTGTTTCCCTGACAAGAACAATCCCATTGCCACAGCAGGTTCTTCCTGCAGTCCACAGCTCGCTCTTTAGGGCAGGAAGCTCCGTTCTTGATGACGGGAACGCAAAGGTAAGTGGCACTGTTCACCTGCTGAGCCCAAGCCAGAAATGTTTGCTCCTTTATCAGAACTCCAGCACTGGAGTCAGTGTGCAGAAGGGACCTGCACGGACAGAGAAGCAGCAGCGTGTCCTGGGAGAACAGGATTGACTGGTCCCATCCCAGTACGGCATCTTGCCCCCCAACTGGGAACGCAGGACCCTGGTGGGCCTTTCAGCAGCACTGACTTAATATTTTAGAATGAACCCCCCCATTAACATCTGCTTTTGAATGTTGGTCACACAGGTCTGCAGAGGTTTTGAAAAGCAGGTTTGTTCGTGGTTTTTAATGTGTCATCCAGTGTATGGGTGAGAAATTACACGGATGGGCTCAAAGCTGGGGGAGAAAACATGAGCTCTGGTGGCTGTGGTATAAAGTTACCACACGTTAATTACTACGTGGAGATTTTTTCTGCACCAGCAGCTGGTGAAGATGCTGAGATAGGGCAGAGGGATGGGAGGAAAGCAGAAGCAGACACACACCCCAGGGACCTGCAGGGACCTGTGTGGGCATCAGCTTTTGGCTGGACTCTTCAGGGAGAGCACACCGAGGACACACAGACCAAACTTTATATTTTATTTAATGAAAACTACAAAAGACAACTCGCCTCCTTCAAAAAGTCAGGCAGTCAGGTCACAGCTTGGGATAGAAAAGGAAAGTGCTGCACTGAGGGGAGGGAAGAGCCCTTCCATGAAATGAAAACCTTCCCTGTGGTACGTAGGCAGGATGAACAGGGAATGTATCCCCAGCTCGCCGCAGCGTGGGCACCTCGTAAACCTCGTCTGGTCTGAAACCGGGCACCGAGCCCTGCCCCTGCGGATCCCCGGCCAGGGCAGAGCCTCCCCTGCAGCACAGCATTCACAGTCTGCAGTAGCTTTGACTTGCCTCACGCGATCCCCTTTGGTTTCACCTCTGGTTCAAGTCACATCTGCTCACACGTGTCATTTGTGCCAAGTCTCCCATACGAAATGTTTCTTTCTGGAGCGCTCGGGCTCCGCTTTCTTTAGGGTTTAAAAAGAAAAGCCTGGCTCTCTCCCTGCACACACACAAAGCTCACTGTGTTCTCAGTGCCAGTCTGGCAAACGTAACGCTTCTCTGTGAACAGAGCTGCTCAGGACAGCAGGAACTCCTCTCCTACAAGGTAAGATGACAACCAAGGGAAGGAAGGGCAGAAAGTTTCTTCCCGCACTCCTGAGTGCTGCTGTTATTCAGCACGAGGGTCTTCTTGCTCCTGTCTCATCCCTGTCCCTGATTTATTTACCCCGTGTCATTACGTGAGACACCTGCTCAGCATTGAGCTGATGTCATCCCTGTTGAAACCCTCTCCTGTTCTGTGACAGGACTTGCAGGTGTGGTGGTGTAACTCATCCAGTACCTGGTGGTGTCTGGATTACACCTTCAAACTGGGATACAATCACCTGAAAATGCTGCCCAGGCTGTTTAAAACAAAACAAACAAACAAAAAAACCCAGCTAAAAAACCACGTATTTTAAAAGAATGTGTGAGGTGGGTTTATAAAAGTGCAACAGAGGTTGGAACTGACCTTTGCAGTTTGTAAAACTGCTTTGCTATGGAGATGAGCAGTTAATAAGAATAACGGGGAGGGGGACTAATTAAAGGCATTTTGTATTGTCCCATCTGGTAAGACAGAACAAATTTTAAAGCCCCTGAATGGCCCGTGCTGGGTGGGGAGGGCCCAAGGCAACGGTGATGGCAGAGAAGCAATTTCCCATGGTGTGTGGGAACTGGGCTTGGGTCCTTAATGGCTTAACCAGGAAGGAGCACAGACCTCAGACCCCAGGATTCCAGGATAAGGCCTTAAAAAAAAAACCCTGGAAGTTTGATTTTCAGTCTGGTTACTACTAAATGAAAACCCTGGTTCCACCTGAGAGCTCCTCTTGCAGAGCTAGCAGTGGCAGCTCCTGTTCGCTCTCCCGTGGGGCAAGTCAGATCAGCTCTAACGGGAACAACGGAGTGAGCTGGATGAAGGGCTCAGTCTGTCACACTTCATCACAGCTCTTATCAAAATAAACTCTGAGAGACGTGATTCTTGCTGGTGCAGCTTCTAGTCTTCTGCCAACTTGATCCCTGAGTTGTAGGATTGTGACCAAGTCCTTCCTCTCCCCAGTGTTCTGTGTTTCCATGATGTTAAAGCTGAGGGGTAGCACACACTGCTTAGGAAGGACGTAAAAAACCAGAAACATTTGGTCGTTATTCTCTGTAAAACACAGCAGTGCTTTTGCTCTGATGTGCTGGCTGTTCTGTCCACTGGGACCTACTGGTTCTGCAGTTGCTGTGTCCAAGGCAGTAATTCTCCACTAGTCCCTTTCCAGTGGCTGTAAGGGAGGACATGGACATGGGGAGCTGCCTTCTCCTGGCCTCAGCTGAGGGCAGGAGCCCCCCGAGTTCACCCTCCCACCAGTCGCTCCCCCATCCTCACGGTACAGGTGTCTGAATCCATCATAGTATTCATCTGTCTCCATGGTGCCATCAGGAGTTTGGGCTGTGGTAGGTGTGAAAGGTGCTGACACTGCCTGACTGCCAGCGACCTTCAGCCTGGCTTCATGGGAATCCTTCAGCCCGGGAGGGTGGTGGCAGGGCAGCCGTGCCTTGGGATGGCCCTGGATGGCTCGAGTGATGGGACAGAAAATATAAACAGCATTGGATGGCTGTGAGCACCTGAGCTCTTGATCCACAAGCTCTTTGCAGGGGATGAATTCAGTGCTGGGAACCTGGAAGGAAAGATGCAGATTTTGTGTGAAAGTTCCCTTAAAAGGACTCTCTCTCTCTCTCTCTCTCTCTCTGGCTGCTGCTCCTGTAACTCTGTGATCCGGGGGAGGGCAGGGACAGGCTGCACTGGATGCCTCAGTAGATGTGTATCAGCAATATGTGTGTTGGCCTTGATGCAAAATACTTATCCAGGAGCTCCTGAGCTACCACACAAAAGGTGGGCAAGTCCTCCCTCTTTTTAGGAGGTGGCAACATCCAGGAGGGAGACAGAAATTCAAGACCACAGGATGGGTTGATGGCAAGCTGGCAGGCTGGGTCTTTAGCCTTCTAGGTGTACTCTCTTAAAAGGCACGTGTTTATGAAACTGGAGAAAAGCTTTAAGGAAAAACAAACCAAGCTTGCCTTGAGTGTCTGTCCTTAGGAGACAAACTGATCACATTTTTAAAAGCAATGTAACTGTGCTCACAAGTTTTCACCGTGTTCAGCGGGAGGCTGGCGACACAGCGGGCAGGTTTGTAGGTGCTCCCAGATGCTCCCATTGGGGGAGGATCTCTCCTTGCTCAGGAGGAAGGGGCTATCTGTGGCCAAGGAATTTGGAAACCTCCCTTCCCTGCCCTCTCCACAGTCCCAGCCCTTAACTGCAGTCTTATTCCTTTCTGTTAGTGCTCAGCAAGGTCTGCAGCAAAGGCTGCTTCAGTGCAATACTGGTTGTGAACACACGTGTGCTTTATTAATTTATCAGTGTCCTGACCTCAAGGTTGGTGACCAAAGGCCATTTTGATTCCTACCTGTGCTTTTTTTAGCAGATCAGTAATAACAGGAAACCAATCAGGAGTCAGCCTCTCCAGCTCTAAGGTGATGATCACCAAAGCCAACGTGGAGCCCTTAAACTGCAATAGTTGGTGGCACGCCATACAGTGCTGTAGCTGTTTGGTCAAGAATGCAACGTGGCGGGAAGGATTCATCTGAGGCAGCTCATGTAGGAGATGGGGCCAGTTGGACATCACCATGGCATGGAACTGGAGAGAAGATAAAGTGTATATATATACATATATATATATATATTTAAAGAAAAAAAGCAGAGGTCAGTGAACTTTGTATGTTTTCATATGTTATCAACCAGAAGTACAGACTAATTCCATCTCATACCAGGAAACCTAAAGGGTTCTTCCCCTCCCTGCTTTTTTGGGTTTGTGTTTGTACTTGCCAACCATTGAACTGTTGGGTTTTTGGGTTTGTTTTGGTTTTTTGGGTTGTTTTGGGTTTTTTTTTTGAGCTTATAATGAATGTAAAAGGTGTGTTTTCCTAACGATTTCTGAAGTTTCTACGTTATCCAGATTGCTATCTAGGAGATTCACTTCAGGCCAGCAGATTACAAATAGAGTAAAAACCAATAAAAATAACCGCACTTTGAATTTACTGAGGAAACAAGCACCTAAAAAAGGCAGTTTTCACAATCAGCAGCCTAAAATGGCTTAATATTTGCACATAACCTTAAAAAAAAGGGATCCAGGATGTGTTTGTATCACATGATTTTTTGCCTTACTAGCACATGATCGTTTCTTGAAGACAAAGTTTAATTGTTTCTATCAAATGTTTAGTAACCGCAATGTGAACTAAGTGCCAGATCGGGGTAGTGTCATTGCCTAAACCAAGGGTGAATAATTAATGGGATGAAAAAAGATAGATGGTTTAAGAAAAAAAAGCTGTCTGTGAAATGTAGCAAAATTCTGACAGCTTTCTATGTACAGTATTAATAGAATGGAAATAGTTAGAAATATTTTTGCAGTGTGTATTTAAAAAAAAAAAAGGCGTATAATTGTGCATTATAAAAATCTTTTTAACGTCCATTTTAGTTGCCCTTTAAAGATGGGAGTGAAATTTTTGAGCAAAATTAAAAGTTTTAAATAATAGAAAATTTAAAAAATAAATTAAAAAAAAAAATCACTGTAACATTCTTCAAAAGACTTGGAGATAGCTAAGAACAGGTCGTTGTAGCTTGGGAAGGATGTGTGGGTGTGTGTATGTGTGTGCATCTGTGTTTTCTAGTCTTCTTTGATTAAGGAGCTGTTTCTTTAAAGAAAAAAAAAATTAAAAATTGCAAAAACTTAGTGCTTACAATGTTTAAGAAATCCATGGGTGTTGCTGTGTAAAGATCCCAGTGAAGCTTATCTAGTATGATTCTTTCCATTCTCAAGATCTCAGCTGGAGAGCGTTTACAACCACTCTGCACTGCAAGCATCCTCACCGATGGTATTACCTGTAAAAAAAAATATAAAAATTAAAAAAAAAAATAAAGAAAGAAGACAACAGCCCAGGCCATGCTGTGTGTGTTTCTCTGTACTGCAAAGGGCTCTGATAAGTTGATACCCATCCCCAAGTGCTCGTTCTGGAGCCCACTTTCCTCGGTAACTCCCATCCTCAGTGCAGCGGTGATCCAGGTTCCCTGCTACCAGTCTCGGTACTTTGTTCCTCTGACAAGGAGGAGGCTGTTTTACAGGGGCCTTCTGTGGTTGACTTGTTTCCTGTGGTCATTGACTCAGCTTCTCCTTTGTAGCTAAGAGGAAAAGGCGCCTAACCTCAGCGTGACACAGCCTAAGAAAAGCTGCGAAGAGCATTTCGGTGCAGAGGAGGCTGCACAGAGGAGACACGCGTGTCTGACTCCAACTCATGGGTTTCCTGTTCTTTTTCAAAACAGAATGAAGGAAAGAGGAGAAATGGAATCTGAAATGCTTTTAGCTCATGTTTGTACACGTCTGAACTTCTGCCATGAGAGATCATCCTGCGTAATCTCACACTTCTGTGGGCAGTTGCTGATTTTACCTGCTCACCTTGAGGTGCAGACCTGAGTCATTTCCTCACCAGGATCAGAAACCAGTTCTGACTCCAAGCAAACTCAGCTATTTTAAGCTTCCTCTGAAGAACCTCTGCTCTGTCTCACCTCCCTTACCCTCCTCTGATGCTGCGTGCACAACGCTGTGTGTGTGCAGCCTGATTGTCCCCTGCCCCAGACTAAGTTCTACTGTGAGCCATGGATGCTGAAGAGAGGAGAGAGGTTTAAAGGCAGGAGGAAGGAAACACAACCATTACATAAGCCAACCTAAGTCCTTCATCCATAAAGGTCACAATTCTTCCAAACAATGATGAAACAGGACTGAAAATGTTACTGTCACCCCCCCCAAGGACTCCTCGGGGTAAACAACGCTTCCTCTTTTATGCCCAAGGTGTTGAAAGACCTGGAAACACAAGCAACTTGAACACAAGAGCTGAGTTTGGTGTGTTTATAATTAAACATACAGACCTCGTCTTCTTCGTTGGTTTTTGCTGCAAGGACAAGGCAGGAAATTGCTATGCACTGAAGATATTTTAATTGGGCCTGAAGGGAGAAGAAGAAAACACTGATTAAAAAAGATAAGAGTCTTGGGGGAAATAATTGTCATTCTAAGACAGATGCATGAGTTTCAAACTCTCCTTTAAGTTACAGTTGCTTCTGAACTAGTATAGCTGCAGGAAGATGCATTTGAAGCTGGAGACAGAGCAAGGAAATCCAAAGTGAAACAAAATTTTTAATGATGTATCCCACAATTTTTAGACTGTGTAATGCCACGGTATTGACAATGCAATGTTATTCATCTTCTCAGCTGAGATATTAATTAATAAGCTGTTGCCAAATGCCAGCAGCGATCTAAATAGAACTGAGAGCTGCAGGGTTCAGTTCAACTCATCACTTTGCTGTTGCTTCAATGGCAGCAAATGTTGGCCCCTCGCTTGGGTTAAAAATAGTGCTTTCAAAACTAAACTATTAAAAGTGATAATGCAAATATGTTTTCTGTTTAGCAGAGACAACCAGATGATAATGAGTTCTTTGTACTTATAGAATCATAGAATGGTTTGGGTTGGAAGGAACCTTAAAGATCATCCAGTCCCAACCCCCCTGCCAGCAGCAGGAACCCCTTCCACTAGACCAGGTTGCTCAAAGCCTCATCCAACCTGGCCTTCAACACTTCCAGGGAGGAGCAGCCACAGCTTCTCTGGCCAACCTGGGCCAGTGTCTGACCACCCTCACAGTGAAGAACTTCTTCCTAATATCTCATCTAAACCTCCCCTATCACAGGGTTTGGACTAGAGATCATACAAACACTTCTACTGAGGACTGTAAATCAGTGGAACCTCATCAAACACTCAAGTTCATCTATATAAATATAAATAATATAAAAATAAATATAAATAGAAATATCTATGCTTAAAAGCCTTCCCCAGCAAAGACTGTGACTGCTCCCTAAGGCTGCTACCAAACACAGTCCCTGCTTTGTGTATAAACTGATGCCACACTCCTGACATCCCCTGGCAGCAGTTGAGCCAGGAAAAAGCTGAGAGAGATGCTCTACCTTCACCGATGCCAATAGCCGGTTAAAGATGCTGGTAGCCAAGGCAAATGTTTCAGGGTGAAACTGGAACTGAGAGCTTATTTCTGCAATCCAGAGAACTGCTTTCTTGTAACAGGACAGAGAGATATCTGTGCCCTGAGGGGAAGGAAAACAGAAGAAAAATACAGTTAGCGCTTTGATGATTTTGTTAACGTATCTCCAAAGGAAGACTGCAATCATTCTAAGTGTTCTAATTAACATTTCACATGTCTGGAGGCTCAGAAAGAAGAAAATTGTTGGTTGTGTCTACAGAGTGAGGGCAAGGGCAGATGTCAGAGCAG